ATTCTAAACGATAAGATTTTTTCATAAAGAGAGTTAATTATAAAAAATATTAAAATTACTAAAAAAGCCACCTGGTGGGGGGTAGGGAGACTAATAATCGACAGCAGCGACGCCTGCTGTCCCGGGCTCTAACTAAAGCAAAAATAAAAATGAGAGTTGCGCATCTATCTCAAATATATTAAGTGTATAATCTATGGAACCAACCGTATATATAAACCTCTTTACAACACAAACGAATTTAAACTTTTGTACTTACAATACTTTTTTTATTATTAATATAAGAGATTTTATGACCTGGTTACTAAGAACTTTAAGCCTTGTCTTATTTAATTTTCATTGTTATTTATTTATATTTTTATGAAAAATGAAATGTGCAATAACTGTGGTTTATTAACTGTTTAGTATCTGTGAAAGTGCATAAATGTAGGAAAATGAAACAAAGCCGCTGAACGTAACTTCTCGTTATCTTCCAAAAAGTCCACTGAAAAAGTCTCAGTAAATGATCACCATTTTACTGAGTTTATACTTCATCCCATATCATCTCATCTCATTTCATTTCTTTTCGTTTTCATTGCATTTCATGCTATGTTTCATAATAATCAACTTCATTTCATTTCATAATATCATTTTCATATAAAAAGGTACGTATCATTAAAATTAAAAATAAGACTTGACCTAAAGGTCTTAGTTACGAGGTCATAAAATCGCTTAAAAAAAATTCTTTCTCTGATATGGTAGCGTTAAAGTTTAAACGTTTAACGCAACCTTGTTGAAAATCGCATTAGAAGTTTCACTTCAAAAATGCTATCTTTTCGAATCTTCACATAATCTGTGATCAACATTCCAACAGCTGTCAGTGCCATAGATTATACACTTAATATATTGTCAGTGCTGTCACCGATCACTAATAAAACCGCGTTTCCGATCCAATTCCGATCACAATAATGAAATTATAGAAAAATATTGTCCAAGTATTTTATTTATTTAACTATGAATATTGCTGTACGGGCTATATTTCTTTTGACTGCCTAAATAGACAAAAGAAAAGTATTATTTATTCGTCATTACTTAAATATGTACTATGAATTGTTAATGTTATAATATCTCAAAGTTGTAATTTAGTGAAAAAGATGTCATTGAAAAAGTACTTGAAAACAATGAAGGATGATGAAGATAATTTGGATATAGTATCACCGTGCTTCAAAATAAGTCCTGATGTGCAATTAAAAGAGGTTCCAACGAACGGTGAAGAATATTTACTTAAAGTCATAAAGGAGCGTAAAAACATTGCAGCAGTTACGAAATGCAACAAAGATTATTCAAAGTTTGCCGAAAATCAGTCTCAGTATGTGCATGAGGTCAGTTGAAGTTCTGAAAAACGATTTTAAAAATGATTGATTAACAAAATTTACATTCATGTAACCATGATGGCAATGATTTTGAAACGAATTTCTGGTGTAATATATTTATATACAGCATCTGATGTAACTATGGATAAAGTTGGGTACATTTACGCATTGTTCTAAATATCTGCACCACTAGCTAAAGTTGTATAACATTTTTAAAATCATTATCTGCATCAATCTAATTTTAATGTTTAGTTCACCTTTACAATTTTCAAATAACCGAGTTTGATTTCAACTATCAAACCTGGTTCTATATGAATAAATTTGTATTAATTAATTTTCAATACACAGAGTTAAGCTCACTTAATTGTGCAAAATGCAGCTGTCATTTTATACATAATTTTCATTATTAGCACTGATAAGAATAATTAAAAGATTTTTAATGTGTACTAAATCCAGAATAATTAATTAATTGATGTCACTTATTTATGTTTATTAATACGACAGTACTAATCTTATTCATTCAGGCATAGTAGGTAGTACTAAAAATATTTTTGTAAATTATAATTTAAAACATTCACAATAGTAATTTGTAAAATATAAGTAAAACAATAAATACACTTATATTTTATCTTAATAGATTCATACCTTGGGACATATTCATAAATGATTCATTCCTGATGCCTGAATACAGTCTTAAGATGTCTACACAAAATGTCTACAAGATGTCTACACAAAAAATGGGCTACATAAAATTATTCAATGATCATGACCATAAAAGTCATAATAAATTTTGTAAAAATAAAAAAGTTAATAATCAGCTCACAAAATTGTATATCCTGTAATTAATTGATGATCTGCACTATTCGTAGAAAGCAAACTGCAATTACAGCAGAATTAATTTATAGTTAGTAGTCACTGATGGTTTTTGATGGGTGGTCTCAAGAGCATTCGTTAAATCTGTGAAATAATACATAACAGATCTAAGAATATAGTTTTAATAATTTGGTGGTTTAGTAATGTTATTGTAATTTGAATAGATGTCTAATGGAAATGTTTTTTTAGTTTCCGAGGCTATCAGTACCTGAGAAGTTAAAACCTACAATTGAGTGGCAAAACATGCAAGTAGCAGATTTCTCAGAAACTCGAATGTACATATCTCGTTTGCTGTCAAAAAGGAAAATATGGAAAAACAATATTAATATTATAGAAATAAAACCAACCTGTGTAATTGNTTTGGTGGTTTAGTAATGTTATTGTAATTTGAATAGATGTCTAATGGAAATGTTTTTTTAGTTTCCGAGGCTATCAGTACCTGAGAAGTTAAAACCTACAATTGAGTGGCAAAACATGCAAGTAGCAGATTTCTCAGAAACTCGAATGTACATATCTCGTTTGCTGTCAAAAAGGAAAATATGGAAAAACAATATTAATATTATAGAAATAAAACCAACCTGTGTAATTGAATGGAAACAGTTCTTCAGTACCCATATTCCAACATTATCATGCGTGCTCGGATTACAACATGCATTACTAGACCAAGGTTTAGAAGTACTTACTGATATTATTAGTAGAACGAAACCTGGTAATACTATAGAACATAAAACAGGTAAGTCATTACTTTACACTGTACATGTTCAGAAGATGATTAAGAGCCGTTAATTAAATTTAAATGGATTTGAACTTCTTCATGTTATTCTCAATAACAAAGTTTGTGGATTTTATATTGAAGTTTTCTCTATCATCTTCCTATTGATTAAGTACAGCTCTTTTGTAAAGAGAAAACTTGACCTGTTTTGTTACTCTCAGCAAACCAAATTATTCATACAGCATACATTCTGCCACTATTCTTTATGTGTTCCATAATTTTGATTCGATCATAGCATTTTGTCTTTACTTTAACTTTATACAAAATTATACAAGATTTTGTAACAACAAGTGAGCTTTATATGAAGAGAATAAAATCAAGATAATAGTAAATTTGTAATTGGGGTAAGGATGATTAGTGAACGCTTTGTAAGGAAATCACATATCAGCTCTCCCAAAAATCCACTTTTAAAGCAGAGATTTCGTAACCACCCAACCTACCTGTCAAAGTAATATATATCAATTTTTAAACTTATTTATAGAATACATTGTGTTTTACAAACCATTTTTTTTAGTACAAATTGTTCAGATGCATACAGAAGAAGTTTTTATTGGGTGGCCTTTTCATTTTCAGGTCAATGGGTATATGCGTTTTTGGCCTGTACCCAACTACCTCTATTGTCTGATACAACAAGTATTCTAAGAAATTTAGCTCGAAAGTGTGCTGAAATAAGGTAAATATAATAACACCTATTGTTATTTACAGCAGGTGACCACAGCTGAATCATAAACAAATGTGACAAAGATTGTGAAAAGTGGCAGTGTGAAATTTTTCAATTATTTTACAAGGAATTTTACTATCTATACAGGGTAGCTGGTAAGATCCGGGTGAGAGAAGCCTACAATCATGCTGTGGTGTGCAATTGGATAGGCCTATGTCCAGCAGTAAACTGCTATAGGTTGATGATGATGACAAGAAATTTGAATTTGAATTTTCTTATTTAAAATTGTTGATTGCATCCACTTATGGAAATTATAATTACAGGTTTAGGCTAAACCCTGATGAAGAAAATGCTATTACTGCAGCAACACCTTTAAATATATTTATCTGTTTAGTGGCAAGATATTTTAGGCAGTATGATCTAGCAGACTGAATTTTAATAAATAATAACTATAATGTATGATTTTGTAAGAACATTATTGTGATACTGAAATAAATTTTGTATGAATATAAAATCTGTGGTGACAAATAATATTTTTTTAACACAATATTTATTCTGTATTTCAATTCTAAAGCGCTCAAGGAAATTCTTGGTCATCAACATCATAGTAAACTCCAAGTTGTTTGCGGACCGTTTGCTCCAATTTTGCCAAGACTAAGCTTTCCTTATGTGACATACGAGGTGATTCAATTAGCCCTGAAAAATTGGGAACACATTAAGTAATAATTTTTTGGAAAAGTATTTATAAATCCCATGAATTTTATTATTTTGTAATCTAGTATTGTTTTTGTATAATTTTACCTTCTTTAAGACACTTTTCTACTTCAAGCGCTTGGTAAACTAAACCGGCGCTGTTTCTGAAGTTGTAGGGTAATGAAGATTTATGAAGCGGAAACTTTTCTACTGTTCCATCTGTATTAATGAAAATTTCCGGNATTTTTTGGAAAAGTATTTATAAATCCCATGAATTTTATTATTTTGTAATCTAGTATTGTTTTTGTATAATTTTACCTTCTTTAAGACACTTTTCTACTTCAAGCGCTTGGTAAACTAAACCGGCGCTGTTTCTGAAGTTGTAGGGTAATGAAGATTTATGAAGCGGAAACTTTTCTACTGTTCCATCTGTATTAATGAAAATTTCCGGAAAATGGAACGGATCCTCTATCTAAAATTATGTTAGATAATATAATTATCAACAATTATTTGTAAAAAATCACAGACTGATAACATCTATTGTCATATACCAATGAGTTAATCTTATACTAATAAGCACCAAAACAATTTACATTGAAAACTAATCAATAGGCAGGTATAATTTGTGCTATGGACAGTCTTATCCCTTAAAGCGATCTTATTCAGACAACCATTTGGACACGACATCGCAGGCTGTTGCTACACACATGTATACAGTACATGCTGTGTACTGTGACTAATACTATTCTAAAAATAATTTAAGTTGAGGGTCTTACTGTAATATGACCGTTGGTGCCAACCACAGTGGCTTTGTTCCACATTTTGAACCTACTATCAACGTTGAGGACTGCGCGTCTGTCACCATCATACTCTAAAATTATCGTTTCGTAAATGTCCACTCCGTCTTCGTTCAAACCCCCTACAGTTGTTACTTTTTTGGGTTCCTCCTTAAATATGTATTGAGCAAATTGCAGTGTGTAAATTCCAATGTCCATAACAGAACTTCCGCCTAGTTCCTTTTTCCTATAATAATAAAATAGAAAAATATTACCAGGGAATTATTCTTTGTGTAACGAATTTGAAATACACATATTTTTATAAGTAAAGCAGCTCACCTCAGTCTATCGACTGTAACAATAGGTACACCAAAATTGACTTCGACGAACATAACGTCTCCCAATTTCCCGGAATTGATTTCTTTTTCAAGGGCAATGTAGGTTGGAGAAAATCTCGACCAAACAGCTTCCATTAGGAATAGTTTCTTACTCTTCGCAAACCTGATTAGGCTCTCGGCTTGTTTGTAGTTCAAACACAAAGGTTTTTCGCAAAGAACATGCTTGCCGTTTTCGAGAAATAGTTTTGATATGTTGTAATGATCAGGATTTAGCGCACCAATATAAGCCACATCTTAAACAATGCGTTTTAAAGGATAGCTATATAATAACAGTCTTTTATCTTTTTTGGTCAGTAGGAAATCGCCGGACTTCCGCCTTCCACTGGGGATGGCGGGCGGGGCATGTCGGAGTCGAGGATAGCCGACCTTCCATCACCCGGATGCTCTTGTGTAAAAAGCGTGCAGAGCAGCTTGCACGTCGTCTTCTTAGGCCCCCCTCGCCGGTCCCCAGACCGACATGTGAGGGGACCCGAAACACTTAGAGGGCCAGGGCTTGGACGACATCCGCTTCCCTAGCCCTCGCTCGACGGCGAGGGGCTTGTGCGTCTCTCATACACCCCGCCGCTTTCTTCTGCGAGATGGTGCACTCGCAGAAGTCGAGCATCGCCTTCCACGACTCGCCGCCGCCGAGCATCGATGCCACAACACTGCAACGACAAGTCGTTCCCTATTTTTGCGAGGACGTCACGGCGCCACCCCTCCTATGTTGGGCAGACGACGAGCGTGTGCTCCGCGCTGTCCAAGTCACAATCACAATGGTGGCACTCTGGCGTCGGCTCGACTCCGATACGGTGCAAGCACTTATCGAAGCAACCATGCCCAGTGAGCACCTGCGTGAGCCGGAAAGTTATCACGTATTTGTCACGATTCACCCAATCCACCAAGACCGAGCGAATCGCTTCGACGGTCCTACGACCAGCCGAAGGAACGGCCAGCTGCTTGGACCATGACTCTAGCACGGACCGCTGAGATTGGGCCCTCCGCGCTCTGACCACACGGGCTGGGACGCGCCACGCCCCGGGCACGAGATCAGCCCGCCACTGATAGACAGCGGCGAGCGCCACTGCCTCCAGGACGCAAGGTGGCGTTCCAGCCAGCACGCCGACTCGAAGGAGATGGTGCTATAACCACAGATGACCCTGACCGCGATGGTGCGTTGCGGCCATAACAGCAGCTTCGCCTCCACGGCCAGAGACTGGCCCCACACGGCCCCACACGGGCGCTCCGTATAGGGCCATTGATCGAACCATCCCCGTATACGTAAACGGCGCGTCCCCTGGTCAAAGCCCCCGACGTATTTTATCTATCTTATTTTTTTCATTTACCAAAAAAGTGATTTATCCAAAAAAAGCTAAGACTCAAAAGTTATATGTATGCTGCTCGAATGTGGACAGTGTTTTTTTGTTATTTGCACAAATGGATATCGCAGAGTTTACAGACTCGACCAGTCGTGCAATAAATTATTAAAGGCTTCGGTTGATTTTAGTACTTGATTATTCTAAATAAATTTCTGTCTTATACATAATCCTACAAACATACCAATCTCATTACTCTCAGCCAAGGCTTTATAAGAATCGAATACTATGGGAATATTGTGTAGCTTTGCAAATTCTTCTGGCTTCGTTCGAGCGGCCACTGCGGCTATAACCTGATCCCCCTTGTTAGGATAGCTGTTGAAAGCGTTGACAAAATCATGGCTGATTTTTCCTGCGGTTACGATACCCCAACGTATGGTCATCTAAAATATTATAAAGATAATCTTATGAATTTCCTATATTGTAGTAGATGCAAATATGTTTGTTTATCTTAGATTATTTTAAAATATGTACATAATAATATGTGGAAGTCTAATGGGTCAGAGCAAAATAGAAAGAATCGACGTTAAGGCTATGAAGACAGTAGCAAACATAAAAGGTATTAATAGATACAATTAGACCCTTAATTAGATACCTGGCGGGAGGGCATCTTGTCAATACGCACAGGTACCAACTAGACCCTTAATTAGATACCTGGCGGGAGGGCATCTTGTGAATACGCACAGGTACCAACCACACTGATATTTCTGCCGTAAAGCAATGCGTTTCGGTTTAAACGGCGGAGTAGGCGTTGTACTATAAAACTGAGACTTGGAACTCATGTCTCAAGGTGGGTGTATGCACTTAAGCTATATTTAGTTTCCGGAAACCACTTAAAGCCATGTGGGTCATTCAACAGTAAAAAGAAACCCTTATCCAATAAGATTTTAGTGAGAATAATTACTTATTTTAGATGATGAGATACATTTTATCCTTACGTAGGTAATTCAAGTACTGTTGAAATAAAATAAAAAAACTCGGACATTCAAAAATTTACAGAATTAAAAATTCTGCCCGAGAAATGATAAAAATGGAGTTTATATCCGAGACAGCGTTTCTAGAGGATATCTAAATCTTACAAACAAACGAACAAATTAAATGTTATTTCATTTCAATATTAGTGTATATAGATGAAATTATTGTTTGTAATAGGTATTTATTTGTACACTGTGATAGGTCATTCATTACTATGGTCCAAGAGCAAAGTACATAATATACAATGCTCTATGGTTCATTGTCTCTAATATATTAAGTGTATAATCTATGGTTCATTGCCTTCGAAATTTTCTGAAGACCTGCATGAGAAACTTAAGAGTATGAGAATTAAGAAGAGATGAGTAATAACTATATAGAATAAAGCTATCATATAATACCTATAGAAAATATCTCGCCAATCTTGAGTTTGGCTACCAAATGTCAAAACAAATTTTACCAACTTTAATTGTGTTCCAATATAAAGCGAGATTATAATTAAAACTCGCTTGTTCATGTATTACATTTTTAAGTCTCACCTTAAATGGATTCAATCAATTTCAAATACAAAACAATATTTTTTTATATTAAACTGAACAATATGTAAGTACGTGACGTTGATTCTTGACTTGTGAATTGATACTACGTGTTGGTTGATAAAAAAGTTATCTACACAGAGTATCATAAATGTATGCATATCTACCACTGGGATACTGGGTTTTCGCAAGAGCGAGATTGTGTAGTGAAAAACTATAGAACTTAACGTTTCCTCTACATTTTGAATTGAAATCGTAGTTCAAAGACCATGGTTAGACTTAGTACGAAATTAAACTGTACGTCCGGAATTGTTGACGGTAAATTACAAGGTCTGTCCCAAACTATATTTATTTTTTGTAATGAAGAATTTAAGCGAAAGCGTGAAGGCAACCTGGCTATTGCGCCAATATAATCGAGATTTAGACCTCATGTCTTAAGATCTTTGACGTTATTAACTTTGACACTTCGTTAGGTTCCCGCATAGACCTTTATAGTAGGGACACGACATATTGTTCTATACGTACAATTGCTTATATAAATAGCACCCATTTTGAAGGCACATAGATAAACATATATCTATCTCGTTCTTACTCAGCACTTTAACTCGCAGGAAAACAATATAACAGTATTTCAGTGCGTACATAAAATGAAACATGAATATACGTAAATGTCTCCGTCTCCGTCTAATGAGGCCGAAAATCCGCCATGTTTAGCGCGCCAAATGTCATTGTCACGTCAGTTCGGCCGTCTGTTTTGGGTTGTACATTATTTATTGACTTTGATATCGATTTAATATGATTGATTATATAAAATTTCATAATTTATCATGCTTAAAACATACAAAAATAATAATTAAAACGTATTTTATAGGATCTCAAGAAAGTCGATGCCCTAAAACTATTATCTATATGTA